ATTTATATGAATGCACTGGATTGCACATACTGTATGCTAATTAATGTCCTAAATGATTAGTGCTTAAGAAAGGTTTTATACATATCCTGTATTTGTGGAAGAAAGTTACAATTCATACTAATTAATTCAGATAACCCAGCCAGCAGCACATAACCATACCAATTTAACTGGCTGTCAGATATGTGAACAAACAGGGTCAGATGTCTAGACCCTAAGATGGCAGATACTATGTACACTGTCAGAGATTAATTCTGGAAGGGAAGTGTTTGTCCTTCATTCATAAGGACAAACCAGATATATTCCAGAGAAGGGAAAGCCAAAGCCAGGTACCTTGCCTTGATGACTGAACTCAGCAAAAAGCACAGCATACGCTTTACCCTGTGGATGCCTGAGTGGAAGTAACTACCTCTTCTGTCCTACTGAGTCTGGAAGAGATTGTTGGAGCAGCACTCCCCTCCTCCAGTATGGGGATACAGTTTGCATCATCCTGAAGATGCTCTCACATGTACTTATAGAAGGAGGCTTCTTGTTGCTGGCAGAAGATGGCAGGAAAGGTTGGAGTTTGGCCAGCCCGTTGAAACTCCTGCAGTTATACTTGGATCAGGTGATTTTCCTGAATCTTTGTCTCAGGAAGTGAGTGAAAAATGTGTTTGGTTGATCCTGTCATACATGGACTGTTTACCTCTCCAGGTTATCAACTCTTTTATTACATGATCAGCTTCCATGACCTGGCCTAAGACGCTTGGGCCAGATTCTAATCTCAGTTACACATTTTCAATACCAGGGTATCTTTAAATCTCCCAAGTTAGGAAGACTGCATCCAGACACTGCCCTCAATTCATGAAAGCATCCCTGTGGAACTTGGCAGATGCAGAAGTGCTGTCTCTGAATCATAGCCATTGTAGCTGGTTTTCTGTTTTCAATCCTAGATAAAATATTGAGTTTGATTTTTTTTTAAAGGGCAAATGCACTTACCTTGTCCAGGTTCATACTGGTTTATTGTCAGCTGATCAGGTTTATGTTTGATATATCCCTGCTTCAAGCACTTCTCCAGAAGCATGCTGCAAATTTCCGGGAGCCCTGTTAGTACAAACAGAAGTATAAACCAGATGTTTTCCTACTCTTTTTTCCTGCTTTTGGTGAAGGAGAAATCTAACAACTGGACAAAATACACAGAAATATGATAAAATACAATAGCCAAAATGGGGCTTGTAAGTCTGTGCACCTCATCAATTACACAGGCAATTTTGTACTCACTATGATGTATGCATGGAAATAGCGGGTCTAATCCTGCAAACCCTCTACGTGTGTAACTTGCACAGACTATGAGGAGTTTTTAGAAGCCCTCCACACTCAAAGGACTGGCAGCACTGGGCCCACTGTTTGCATGCGGAATTTCTATTGTCTGTGAACATAAATAACTGGGTGCCAAATTCAGTGTCACTGAAATCAATGGCAAAATCCCCATTCACCCCAATGGGTGCAGAATTTCACCCAGGTGCATAAGTGCTTTGCACAAAATTAAAGGCTGAGTTAAGACCCTGTCTTAGGGCAGTCCCTGCCTGGAGCACCCTCCTATGCAGGCTGCTGAATGACAGACATGCCTGCCTCAGTTTCCCTCCTGCAGACTCCCCCAAAATAGTCCACAGAATCTTTCTGAGGGCAAATATAGCCCTTGTAGGGTTATCTTATTAAAGAAAGTACAGTCCACATAAATCACAACAAAAGTCCCATTATCATAGTCCAGTTTTCCCCCAGCATAGTCCAAACAGCACATGCAAGACACACCCCTGGCATCTCTCACCACACCCCAGCTCTCCAATGCAGCCCTCTCCTGTCCTTGTATCAGGACAGCCACCAGGCCCTTCCAACCAAAGTGCAATCCCGCTCTTCCCAGCTGGAACCCCGACTGCCTCTCTGCTGGGAGCATCCCTCACACCTCCCAGCCCTCCCATGGTTCCTCTCAGTCTCACTCTCTGGCCCTGGAATGTCAATGGGTAAGCCCCTCTGCTGTTCCCCTGCTGTCAGCCCTCTCCACCCTTAGCTCCAGCAGCCAACTCCCTCTGCTGCTCCTCCTGCCTTCAGCCTTCTCCAGCCTTTTGGCCCTGGCTCTCTGGCTTGGGACTGCCAGCCAGCAAACCCCACTTGCTGCTCTCCTACTTTCAGGTCCCAAACATACAGTCTCCAATTCCTCCCTCTTCCCAGGGATGATCTTGCAGAGAGCTTTCTGCTCCCTGCAGCTTTTCCCACAAACCTCCTCCAGTCTCCTGACAGACTCTCACGAGGACTCTCTCCCTCACTGGGTCTCTTCCTGATCTTTTGTAGCTGCCAGCGCTGCACAAATGGGAGCATCTGCACTGGCACAGGGGAGCTACTTCATTTACTGGGGCCGGCCAACCTATGACAGACCCCTTTGAAAATTTGACCCTTAACATTTAACCCTTAAAGCCTGCTACTGATTCAAATGTTGAATTAAATAAAGCCTCCTAATAAATCTATTGAATTTAAAGTAGTTTATCAGTAATATGCAAAAATGAAACCTTCAGAGAGTTTGCAGTTTGCTACTATACAGGACGAAAACTTAACTGTAAAATTCAATGAAGTACAGCACACTTGAATGTTATGCTAAGAAATATTCCTTTCAGCAATCTGTCAATATTGACGGTTATTACTGCTTTTTGTCTCCAAAACTTGTTCCCTCCGTTTATGTTCATCTCACACACAGACCATTTAACATCTAGCTGGAGGCCACAAAACAGCCAAGACAAATATCAACACTTTTATGATTAAGCACAATTTCAGACAAAATACAATGTAACTTGCATCTGTACGGGGAAACTGTATACATGTCACCTTAAAAACTTGTGTTTAACTTTCAATACAACTGAATTCCATATTTTATTATTTATATAGCTAGGTTGTAGGATGGCTCACTTTATTTTCTCTGACTCATAGCTCTCAGACTCAAAGGACAATTTTTCAGAAAGTTTCCATGATTGAGTTCTGCACAAAGGGGAGTTGTTTTGGAAAGTATAAGGAAAATGCATTCAGCCATTTTCAAGTTATTCAATCTGTTAAAAAATATTTTTAAAAGTATTATATTTTTACCATCTTGAAAACTTGAACATTTTTTTTTACACACACCCTTTTTCCAGTATAAAAATGAATTTGAAATGTTCCTCATATAGCGTTTCTTCAAAAAACGACCGAAATTTAGAAGTTCATAATCCACATTTGGCTAGACCTCAATGAAGAATGGCAGCCATGATTTTTTTTCAAACTTCTTTAAACATACAAAGTTATAAGTGATTAAAAATGGGTTCCATTCATGTACACTAAAATATGATTACTAAGCAACTGATTCAGGAAAGTATCCCTATTCAAGAAGGGTGTTTAAGCATGTCCTTAAATTCCATTGAAGTTAATTGGATTTACACACCTGTTTAAGTGCCTTCCTTAATCAGGGCTTTAGTTACACAACTTCCTGGGACACTACACTGTACTGAAGTTAGGTTCTGTGTGTATCTGTTGGAAAACAGATTTAAAACAAACGCCATTTTAAAATGCCTTTTCATAGGAAAGTTCTCACCTCCAGGCAATGGTTTATCTTTATCTACATTGTTGTTATCATATCGAAACTCATATCCAAAATGCTTTACCCTTCTGTGTTTTAAAGACTTCTGGGCTGTGAAGCAGAAAAAATTAAACAATGTAAAAATATTAAAATATGCACAATATATTTATTTACACAATTTGCTATGCTTGCAGGGTATTTGCCTAATGCCTATTCCATATAATCTCTGTGCATCTCAACAACTATTCAATAGTTGAAAATACTATTATTTATGAACCTCACTCTCAATATACAACTCAACTTTCCCATGTACTAAGAGTGACTAAACAACACAGAGCTTTAGTACCACTTCTCTTTGAAGTCAAAACCCCGATGCTTTTACACATTGTAGCAATCCCACAGACGTCAATGCTTACACATGGGAGCAAGGACTGTAGGTCCCTGGACCTTGTGTTTGTCTCTCTCGGACAACAGTACCAATTTTCTTGAGCCATGGCTGACACTTTGGACAAGCTCATGATATGGACATAATAGGAACTTTCACTTCCTTGCATCATTACACTGCACACTAACTAAAGTCAATATAATGCTTTGTGCTGTGTCAAGGAGTAAAAGCTACTTTGTAATATGGAAGCTAACTGGAAAAAATAACTGGCTTTGTTAAGAAATTTAATTCCACAGAGCTCATTTGAAACTACATGAGCAACTGGGAAGGGAGCTTTGACTTCTCTCTGGTGCTCCAAAAGCTCCAGCTCCCAGGAAGGCTGTCAAATTACAGGTGCTGCATTCTGAGAACAAACTCACTGACTGACCATGCTGTCAGGAAATGACTCTACACTAGCTGCTTCTGGAAGCAGAAGCATAATTCAAATTAACCCATTCATGGGGATCACCTTACACCACATGCCTCTGGTTAATTGTAACTGTATGATATAGAACTCAATTTTAAAAGGACTAAATATACAGAATGATTTTAAGGAATAAATTATCCAAGATGCAGACTTCTTGCAGAAATTAAATTCAACAAAAGGACAATTTGCAGGTATTTTTCAAGGTCTCACTTTCTGTGGTTCTACTAACCATTTTGAATGACTTCATTTTCTGTCCAATCAATACTTTCCAACATTTTTTGTTCTTCTTCAGGAGACACGAGCTCTTCAACCATCATCAGGCCTGGAGGCAGGCTAATAGGTATAATGTCCTCCCAATGCACTATGGGTATAAAAATAAAACAGTGCTACTGCTTATGGAAAATGATCCACTTGTGTTCTTTTATCAATAATGATAAACCCCAGATTGATCATCATCTGAACTAATTATCCTCCTTGGTAGCATAAAACAGGATCAGAATCCAAGTTCTGTGCTATACAACCCAATTCTCAAATCTCACTGTGTAGGACCCGAGAGACTTAGGCTAGGTCTACACTACAGCGGGGTTCCGACCTAAGATACGCAACTTCAGCTACGTGAATACCGTAGCTGAAGTTGCGTATTTTAGGTCGGCTTACCTGGTGGTGAGGACGGGGGAAAGCCGACCGCTGCCGCGCTGCCGCCGACTCCGCTGCCGCCTCTTGCCGAGGTGGATTTCCGGAGTCGACGGCAGAGCGATCAGGGATCGATTTTACCGCGTCTTCACGAGACGCGGTAAGTCGATCCCCGATAAACCGATTGCTACCCGCCGGATCGGCGGGTAGTGAAGACGTAGCCTTAGTGTTTTCCACTCTCAAAAAATATCTGATTTGTCTGTTAAAATAAAGGTCAAAACTTTCCCATGCATTTCAGGGGAGATTCTACTTGGATTCAATTTTATTTTGCCAGGACTCAGGATTTGTCACTGCTTGTGATTGACAAGCATAGAGTACAGTGAAGAAAGTATGTCTGAATGCTATATGCTGTTTCTTAAATGTAAGAAATGATATAAAATGAAGATGGCCATTTGTAGCTCTCCAACCAGATGTGATGAAATGTTCACTGCAACACCTATCTTGATAGAAAATGACTTACGTAACAGGCTCCCAACTTGCAGCCCTATGAATTATTATTGAAAATGATCTGTACTATGGTAGAGTTTAGGGGCCAAGATCAGGACCTCATTGTGCTAAGTGCTCTACAAACACAAAGAGACGGAGTTCACAATCTAAATGGGCGAGTGTTATTGTTCCTGTTTTACAGATGAGAAACTAAGGCGCAGAGAGATTAAGTGACTTGGCCAAGGTCACACAGGAAGTCCGTAGAATGGGAATTGACCTCAGACCTCCTAAGTCCCAACCTATTGTCTTCACCACAAAGACCATCCTTCCTCTCCAGCAACAAACGGTTTGGCTCCAAGCTACCAGAGAGACCATCTCTCTCCCCACCTTATACGACCACATGTGCTCATGGAGGTGTTCCAGCTGCAGCCTCCTAGCATTAAACAAGAAGGAGCTGCTAGCAGGACATTTTCTGTGAAGGGTCTTTAGTTCTGGCATTCACTCCATGCCTCAGACTACAAGAGACCAGATTTCAGGGTATGCTGCAAGACCCCTCTTTTTTCCCTAGACTTTGGTTCATGAGGAAAGTAGATTATTGCTCCTATTATTGTTTGATCCTTTTGGGCAATTAATTTTGCTTTTCAGGTTCCTGGAAAAGCTGACCCTTATATTTGATATATGTATTTATTCATCTATTTTATTTAGCCATATAAAGTATTGTTGCAAGCATCCACAGACTGCTCTAAGTGCCATATAATAAAATAAAAGACAAAAACCAGGAATGATTCACCAAACACAGTTCAAAAATATAAGGTGAATTTCTGATCCCATTGAAGTCCATGACAAAACTTCCATTGACTCTCATGGGGCCAGAATTCTATCCACAATTCCACTATAACATGCAACTGAAAAGCAAAGGAAGAAAAGTGATGCTTTATGGGATAGCAGAATATTGATACCTTTTTCCACAAAGTTAACATACAGAGTAACATTTTGGTCGGAGTCCTCCAGTGTTATCTCTTTCCCATTGAGAGTGTCATAGGCTTTCTTGGCTTCTTCTGTCGATCCATATTTCACAACTGAATAGGGTTTATTTGGAGGCATTAAGAGTGCTTCCACCAATCCACATTCCTCTACTAGCCTGAGCAGCTGGTGTCTATTCACACCATTACCCAGACCTCCATTGGCAACGACCAAGTTCTAATTTAAAAAAATTAAAAATAGACATGTTAGCGGTCACCACTGATTTGTTTACCTGAAAATAGCATTTCACAAACACAAGTGTCATAAAGAGAAATGAAGCTATTATCTCTAAATCGGTCTGTGGTTATTCTGTTTGATATACCAAAGGAAATGTTTATATTTCAATTAGTCTGCGGGTATTTGAAGCCCAGAGCACATTAGTACAGCACACACTTAAGGGAAAGGCTTTTACAGAACAAGAGCATTCAAGCTCGGAGAGAAATAACATGCCCATGTTTGTGTGTGCAGACACCACAACTGTGCCTGCAAACCGGTATCTGTGCGGGGGGGGGGGGGGGGTGTCTACACATTTACAGTACCTGGATAACATGTGCTTTGCACATGCCCTGAACATTCTTGTCCCTCAGCTACACAATTTATTTGTATTTGCAGATTCCATAGCTAACAGTTGGCTGTAAGTGTCCTGCAATACCTTTGAAAGGGTGGAACAAAAATAAATCCCATTGTATTAACTGTATCTGCCTGATTTTTTTCATGACAGCCAAGTGTTATGGCTCCCACAAATGAACTCAGAGAAAATTGAGCTTAGCAGCCCATTTCTAAACACCTCCAATAATTTTTTTTGAAGGAGTGGCCTCTAACATCATCCTCAATATTTTTCTCTTTACTCTCTTCTGCAAGGAAGGGTAACCCTTTCCTCTGTCTGAGGAGAGTCTGATGCATTCATTAGCATAGCCCACTAGTGCTATTCTTTCATTGGGCCAGGGGAGGAAGGTCACTTGAAAGCAATATGAGGTATCCCTCATGCCCCATTTTAGGGACCAACCATGCAACCAGTGCTGAGCAGAATCAGCCCTGAGCAGGATCAGCTCAGAATCCAACTTCAGATCCCCTTCAGGGTACTTCTCTGAGTTGATGCTAGCTTGCTGGGGATGCCCCATAATGCTACAAGTAAAGAGATACTGGACATCCTGATGAAAGAACGGAATCACCCAGGGGGCCTGCTACACAATACAAAATACAGCTTTAGGGCCCCAGTTCATCCTCCAAACACTTATGCACGGGAGTAGTCTCAATGGGACAATTCGCCATCACCGATGTGACAATGTCTCAGTGCAGCTACACTCGGGGTATGGCCACACTGCAATGCAAGCCTGGGCTCAGACACAGGCTTGAGCCCAAACCCCTCTTCCATTTACACACAATCCTGTCGTACTCAGGCCCAGGCCCCAGGACCTTGCAGGATGAGACGATTTGAGCCTAGGTCCCACTGGCACTCGGGTCCAAACGCCATCGTTTTGCATTTGTGGATGCAGCTCAGGCTGAGAGTTAGCCAATACTATCCCACAAACCCATGGGACACTGTTCTTTGTCCTCTCTATCCCAAGAGTAGCCAATTGACCCCTCAGGAAATGGAAGTAACCCCACTTGTACAGCCAGGCAGCGTTTAACCCTTCCCCTTTATTCTGACCACTGAGCTACAGAGTAAACCTTCTCCCGCGTTAGGTACGGCCATCAACCAGAAGTCATCTTTTGCCAAGCGTGCTGCTTCCTGGTCCCAAGAGCACATATGTGAGGGGAGGTCTAGGTTGGATATTAGGAAACGCTATTTCACTAGGAGGGTGGTGAAGCACTGGAATGGGTTACCTAGGGAGGTGGTGGAATCTCCATCCTTAGAGGTTTTAAGGCCTGGCTTGACAAAGCCCTGGCTGGGATGATTTAATTGGAGTTGGTCCTGCTTTGAGCAGGGGGGTTGGATTAGATGATCTCCTGAGGTCTCGTCCAACCCTAATCTTCTATGATTCTGTTAATATGCCCCATTCACTGTGTACAGTGGCAATATCCTCCCCCCACACACATTTCGTTGTGTGCTGTGACAATACATCATTTACTGTAAATATTGATGTACAAAAACATTCCTAAACATGCTGTTCTCTCTCTTCCATTGGTCCGTGCAAATCCATAATGTGGGAGCACAGAGCATCCCTGATTTGTGTTACCTGGGTGCATCCTGCTGTCACAGGTGCACTTTCTGGCTGAGTGCACTGGTTCGGCAATCCATCACTGCCATAGCTCCATTGAGGGGCAAAGAGCTCACCTTTGGCTTCACACAGATTGTGAAGAGCACAGCAAGCCACAGTGATGCAGACAGCATTGATGACACTGGAATCCAAACAGGTCTGTTGATAGTGCCAGTGGGATTTCAGTCTGCCAAACGCACATTCAACCACCATTCTGCACCCACTCAGAGTGTGATTAACCCTTCTTTTGTCAGGCCCCGAGATCAGGATACAGTTTCATAAGCCAAGGTAAAAGGGATTACGTGGGGACAGTAACTCCATTTATGACAATATCCTTTGGTGGAAATAGAATCCCAGCCTGTCCATGAAGGTAGACTCCTGCCCAGCAGAAAACCCTGGTATCATGATCCCTCCTTCCAGTGCAGCTCACATTGGTGTCCATAAATCAGCCTCTGTGGTCCACAAGGGCAAGCGTAATAGCAGAGTAGTGCCCTTTATGTACTCATTTGCTCCCTGAGTGCCACGAGTCCCATCAACGGCTCTGATGCAGTTTGGAAAGCTCATTCTCTCAAAACCAGCAATTACTTCACAAATATAGTTTCTGCCCACCCCAGCTGGGTAAATCACACGCCTGATCATCTCAGAAGCCTACATCACCACTTTACCCACATTTGACTTTCCAACACCAAATTGGTTAGCAATAGACCTGTAGCAGTCTGAGGTAGCCAGCTTCCAGACAGTGATAGTGTCAGGGTTCCTTCCCCACTCTGAACTCTGGGGTACAGATGTGGGGACCCGCATGAAAGACCCCCTAAGCTTATTTGTACCAGCTTAGGTTAAAATTTTTTCCAAGGCACAAGTTCCACCTTGTCCTTGAACAGTATGCTGCCACCACCAAGTAATTTAGACAAAGAATCAGGCAAAGGACCACTTGGAGTCCTATTCCCCCAAAATATTCCCCCAAGCCCTACACCCCCTTTCCTGGGGAAGGCTTGAGAATAATATCCTCACCAATTGGTACAGGTGAACACAGACCCAAACCCTTGGATCTTAAGAACAATGAAAAATCAATCAGGTTCTTAAAAGAAGAATTTATTTAAAGATAAAAGAATCACCTCTGTAAAATCAGGATGGAAGATAACTTTACAGGGTAAGAAAAGATTCAAAAACACAGAGGATTTCCCCTCTAGGCAAAACTTTAAAGTTACAAAAAAACCAGGAATAAATCTTCCTCTTAGCATAGGGAAAATTCACAAGCTAAAACAAAAGACGCTCTAACGCATTTCCTTGCTATTACTTACTATTTCTGTAATATTAGATGTATCATTTCAGTGGGAGCTGGATTACTTGCTTGGTCTCTCCCTTTGTCTCCGGAGAGAACACCCACACAACACAAAACAAAGCCTCCTTCCCCCCGCTCCCCCCGATTTGAAAGTATCTTCTTTCCCCATTGGTCCTTCTGGTCAGGTGCCAACCAGGTTATCTGAGCTTCTTAACCCTTTACATGTAAGGAGGGATTTTATGCTACCCTTAGCTGTATGTTTATGACAGATAGCAATCCACTTCTGGATCAATATGGTCACCCGCACAGAGGTCTCATGCTGCTGGAGGGACAGGACAAGCTGCTCACAAAGCTCCAGAAATGTAGCTCTCTTCACGCAAAAGTTCTGACCCCATTGCTGGCCATTCCACGTCTGCATAACGATGGGATCCCACCAATCTGCGCTTGAAATCCTACTCCAGTAGCACCGGTCTACACAGAGGGCATCAGCAACTATACTGAGAGTCGCGAGTTGTACCAGCCAGTTCCATTCTTCTGTATCTGTATCGTCGTCCTCCTCTTGCTCCGTCATTAGCTCCATCAGGTGCTTTCGGAGGGTCACAAAACATTGCTGAAATGTGCACCAGCATCTCATGGAAGCTCTGCCTGTTTCCTGACACAGAAGTGAAAGCCCAAGCAAAAGAAGTTCTTCAAATGGTGACTCTTCCATGCTGCTGGCTCCAGTTGCTGGAAGCATGCAGGCCAAAACGACGGCTTGGCAGGCTGTGTTGGCAGGCTGTGACAACTTCCTGTGATGTGCGGGGTGGACAGTCAAGTTTTCCAATGCTGCACCATGAACCAAGGGCTAGAGCGGCCACATTTTGGGAGGACGCTAGGTAGTTTGGCATATGGTTGGTTGGACTCGGGTCTGCATACTGCAGTATGGATACTGGTGCCCCAGTGTGGGGCCCTGACTCAAAATTTCTTAACCTAAGGTTACCAATGAGCATGGACACTCAAGCCCCTGAGCTTTCAAACCCAGGGTCTGCAGACTCAAATCCCACTAACTCTGGGCTTGCATTGCAGTGTAGACATATGCTCAGCTGCCCCAGCATTGCTTTACGGTGCACTGGAGCCAGGGCTCTCTTCAAGCACTAATGCCTCAGCACAGATGGATTCCCTCAATCACAGGCTTCCCACAAAGTCCCTGTCTCCTCCATGCCATCAGGTTCATCACAAAAAGAGGCAGCCTCAAAATGGAGCTGATAGAGGGGCTTCTGAGACTCCTTCATATGCCAATTTCTCTCTCTCTCTTTCTGGGGTGGAAGAGAGAGGGCCATCCCCACTGTTTATTTAGGTTCACTCAAGTAAGGGGGAATCACCTTTTGAGTGTTTAATTTTAGAATTTCAAAAGTGGCTGATATGCAGTGTTGTAGCTGTGTCGGCCCCAGGATATTAGAGAGACTAGATGAGGAAATATCTTTTATTTTGTTGGTGAGAGAAACAAGCTTTTGAGCTACACAGAGCTCTTCATCAGGTCTGGGAAAGGTACTCTGAGCATGGCAGCTAAACACAAGGTGGAACAGATAGTTTGGCATAAGCAATTAGCACATATTCTAAGGGACCATTCAAGGTGAAGTGGCCCATTAACATCCCTATAGTAATAGGCCAAAAAGGGAGGGTTAGTGGGTTACAGATTGTCATAACAAGACATAAATCCAATGTCTTTATTAAGACCATGATTTTTAGTGTCTAGCAAAGTTATGAATTTAAACTCCCAGATTCATCTTTTGAAAGTGTTGGGCAGGTTCCCTTTGAGGATGAGGACTGATAGGTCGACATAATTTTGTAGCGTAGACATGCCCTCTCTCAGGAAAATGATAAAAGACAAAAACACCACATCACCTGTGGGTGAACACTTTTCACAAAGCCATCACTCTATATCTTATCTATCAGTCCCCATCCTGTGTAGCTTGAAAGCTTGTCTCTCTCACCAACAGAAGTTGGTCCAATAAAAGATATTACCTCACCCACCTTGTCTCTAAAACTGGCTGATGTCCGAAGAGTTATCAGAATGTGTGTGTGTTGGGGGAGTGTGGTTGTTTCGCTAGTGGAACTAAACAAAATATGACACCCCCCCAAAAGGGGGGGGCATTTATAAATATTTCCCCTGCAAAAGATAGTACATATTTTGCAAAAATTACAGACAAGGTCCAATTGTCTTCTGAATAGTTATTTTGCCACGTTTGGATAGTAAATCAATCATTTCAGTTTGAAACAGAGGGATTTTAGTCCTACTTTAAGGGCAAATTAAATGCAACTTTAAGTATGGAGTCAATATCGATGCCTTCATATAATTAGCAAGCATATTCTGTTATTGCCCTAAAATGGCATATCTGTGTTTCACACATTGTTTCTTCTCAACATCTTTCCCAGAATGAGGCAGCCAATCTTTTTCTAAAAGCATTTCTATAAATGCTCTATTACCTTTTCTGAAAGCAGATCCTAAAAAGTTTTGTTGTTTCAAATTATAGTGTCTAATTCTTCCAAATGAGAGAAAATTGGCTTGAAAATGGGAAGGAAAGATTTAATAAATGGAAAAGGATGACAGTACTCTTAAAATCTGAACAAGGAGTGCTAGGTGACATGTCTGAGAAACTACTGAGAGATATTTCTATTATGAAGTCTCAGGACAGTGTCAGTACTTCTATAAAAAAAAAAAAAATCACATTTTCCAGAGATTTACAATGCAATCATAAAAGAAATTTTTCTGGCTTGAAACCTAGCAAACAAAATCTCAGTGAAGAGTGAATTTCAGGAAAGTCTCTTCATTACCTAATCTGTGTATTGTCGCTGGACCACAACGTTCAGAGGATTTTCAAAGTCTCTGTGTTAAATTCAGCTACAAATTCTGACTATTATTACTGTATTATTTTTATTTGGATTGCTGTAACACCTACAAGCCCCAGCCACAGATCAGGAGTCCACTGCGCTAGTGCTGTAAAAACACAGAACAAAAAGATAGTCCCTTCCCCAAAGAATTGGCCATCTGCACTAGGTTTTCAAATCATTATTTACCTACATCCTCACATGGCTTTAAATCTCAGTGTAAACCAGGCCCAACAACTTGCCTTAAAACAACTGCCAAGGTTGCAATGGCAACCATAAGACTAGAATGAGGAAGAGTCCTGAGACAGACCAGGCAAGACATGGGACAACAGTTTACATAAGAGAAGCTGAAGTGAGATTTCTAGTGAGTATTGGATTAGTGTTAGAAAAGATTTCTAGGAGAGGGGTTTAATAGGGAGTTTGAAGGAGAGAGATTGGGCTTTGTGGAGAAGCATGGAGGGAAGAATAATGAAGGCACAAAAATGAAAGCAGAGGAGACAAAGAAAGCAATATGGGAAAAGGAATGGGTGGCTCTAACATGTATATTAATTGATGAAGGTAACAAATTTTATTAGTAACATAATTACAGCTATCAGAACTTTTCCCAGCCACATGAACAATCCTCTCAGCCTAAAAGACCTGGTCCAAAGACCATTAAAGTCACTGGGAGTTTCTCCATGGACAAAGAGCTTTGACCAAAGCCCAAAGTGCAGTTCTACTTTGGAATCAATGTGAAACAATCAACATGGAGTCTCACTGCCTTTTTTACAGTCACTTTTCAGAACAGAACTGCACGTTAGCCAATATATAGGTGAGGCTAGGATATGCGTATGCTGTGCATTCAGGCTCACATAACAACAATTAGAGCTTCAAGTCACCTGGGTGGTGTGAGATACACACTCGATGCCCTCATGCCTCATTAAAGTGTTTCTGGCCTTGATCTGTTTCCTCAATAATTTCTTCTCAGATTTATTCCGTTTCAGATTGTTTTGACCGGTGCTGTCCATTTCTGCACTGGAGATTCGGAAAGACAAGGCCACAGCAGAAGGGAGAAAATGTTCAAGATTCCTTTAAAAAAAAAAAAAAAAAATCCTGAATGTCATTTATTCATAGGCCATTTTAAAATATTTTTTAAAGAGCCACAGACAACATAAAACTCCTATGTAAAAAATCCATTATTTCTATTACTAATAACACCTCTGTTCTAATCCCACCTCTAATACAAATCCCTCACAGATCTTGGGGGAGTGTCCCATTTTTTTCCCCCATTTGAAAAATGGAGAACAAAACTCACCTACTTCACACTGCTCCGGTGAGATTATTCACCTCCCTCACAAGTCCTTTTTAAGGTAGGAATGGGGAACTTCATTTAGTTCACAATTTTACAAATCTTACAATTTGGGGGAGAGGATCACAAAATTAACTTGAATGCAAAAACTGTTTTTCCCCCTTCAATTCATCCCCATGGGATTTTTTTCCTGTGGGGTGATTCATGCAAAATAAAGGGCAACCTATGCTACATATTAAGGAAGAAAACATTCCAAACCAGCTAGGCTGCTATGAGGGGAGTCCTATGATGCCAGATTTTTTTTCCATTTGTGTTTAATCTCTTCCCTATTCTGTTCCTTTATTCACAAGTTTATGGCATTAGTTTTTCACCCTACCTGCTCCTCCACTATGGTTTTCATCCTGTTATTTCAGTTGGTTTCACCCCCTTCTCCAATATCTCCGGAGTGGAACAAGAACCCACAAATGTCCAAATCTGAGTTGAACTTCCATCCTTGCAATGTTTGAGTGGGATTGAAATCAAACACCTATACAACACAGCTCTCCGAAACCAGGCCCCGTCACTGAAAGGAATGAAACAGCTGTGCACTGTAAATTCAATATGACATTCAATAGAATGTGTCAAAAATCTTCCATTCAAACTGTTTTTCGACAGAAAATAAGGCTTTCGACGAAGGGCTTGTCTACACTGGCAATTTACAGTGCTGCAACTTGCTCTCTCAGGGGTGTGAAAAAACACCCCCTTGAGCGCAGCAAGTTTCAGTGCTGTAAAGCACCAGTGTAGACAGTGCACCAGCGCTGGGAGCTAGCCTCTCGTGGAGGTGGGTTTTTTAAGAGCCGTGACCACACAAGCCACATTAAAGCGCAGCCGTGGCAGCACTTTAGCGTTGCCAGTGTTGACTAGCCCTAACCAAATCTTTTCACAAAAAGCATCAGCTTTCCAGAGAAAATGTTTATATTGTGTTAAAAGAAACATGGAAATTTTCAATTAAAATGAAACAATCCGTATAATGGTAACATTTTGTCAATCAACTTTCTACTTAATACATTTTTAAAAGCTGACTCACTCCCGACCCTTTCCCTGTTTATGTTGTATCTTCTTACCCTTCCTGGCTTCATATCACATTTTCTTTCCTATCACAGATCATGCTGTATCTTTTCCGGCACTGTCCTTGGTTTCTGCCTCCTTTTCCTTTCTGTCTCCTTCCACCTCTTTCAAACTCTCAGGGTGAAATTCTGGCCACACTGAAGTCAATGCACAACTCCCGCTGACTACAGCAGGGCCAGGATTTTGCCCTCTCTTTCCCTACAGTGTGTTCTCTACCTCTTGCCCTATATTTTCTGTCTCTCCTATCTTCTCCCACTTCTTTCTGACAGCACTGGCTAGACAGATGAGCTATGACTGTCCCTCTTCCCCTTTTCCTCCTTCTCCCATTCCTTTACTCCTGCTAACCCTTTCCCACCTGTCAGCCCCCTGCCCCAAACTGTAGAAAATCTGTGTCAGTCACCACTATATTTAGCTATTTGTGTCTCACCCCATCCTCAATGCTTCATCTGTTTGTGTATCTCTTAGATTATAAACTCTCCAGAGGAAAACTGTCTCCCAACCTGTGTTTGTAGAGCACCCTGCACAATGGGGCTCCAATCCTCATTGGAACTTAAGGGGCCAACCATGGTATAAATGATAAATAAACAAACAAACAAACAGGAAAGGTTCCTACATTACACAGGCAAGTGGATCTTTTGCCCTGGAGCTCACCCATTCCAGATTGTGAGTGCATGTGCATAAAGGACTTTGAAGAGGAAAGGTCGAGTGTGTGTGCGTTCTGTGATGTTAATGACATTTTATATCACTAAAAATGAACTTTCAAAAAATAAAATGTTTTAATGCAAAACAAGACCTACCAATGAAATACAAAAAATCTTTTCAAACTCTTCACATCCATATGTAAAAATGCAATCAGTACTAATCTCTACAGCAGGGTGTGACGTTACACTCCATATTCTTCTTAGAAATAGTGTTATAATATGAATATGGCATAACTAAGATATGTTTTATGCAAGATGGGTCATGTGAGATATCATTGGAAAGGATATGATTTGCTGAATGTATTTATCCAATTTGTATGCATGTATCATTTCTGTATCAAGAGCTAGGAATATTAACTATGTAACAATTACAACTGTGTTTTCACCTGGGAAATGCCCACCAGACAGTCGGCAAAGAGTCTGGATGAGCCATTAAGGAGAATGATAGAACTTTGAAAATGCTAATCTCACTCCTTCCTGAGAAGTTTACTGGGATGCTGCATTGACACAGCAGGGTCAGGTGACCATGTCACCTGCTACTGGACAATGTCTTGTCGGTACTTTTCCACTGTAGGGAGATGGGGATCAAACAAAGGATTCCCACCTTAAGTAAATCCTTTTTAAGGCTGGGGAAAGGGTTAATCTTGACTCTCCTCCATGGCCGGCCCAGGAAAGAAAACTGCTAAAAACACCTGGAGGGAAAGGCAGGGTTGAGTGCAGGCTGAGACGGGTCCAGTCTGTAAAGGGAACTAACTGGAAGCTACAGAAACTCTGCAACTTGCCTAAAACAACACTGAGGGTGAGAAATTACATTTTGTAACCTGTTTTTTGAGTGTATTAAGCCTAGTTTGCATGTTTTGTTTTATTCGCTCAGTAATCTGCTTTGTTTTATTTACTATCCCTTATAATCAGTTAAAAAATACTTTTTGTAGTTAATAAACTTATTTCTTGTTTATAACATAACCCAGTTTCTGTAATTCATATCTGGGGGAGCAAGAAGTTGTGCATATCCCTCTCCACATTGCGGGAGAGGGCGATTTTTATGAGCTTGCACTGTGCAGATTTTTCTGTATAGCGCAAGACAATATTATTTTGGGTTTACTCCCCAAAGGGGGTGTGCACGTGAGTGCTGACTAAATCCCCGAGCTGATTCTTCCCACACAGAGCTGATTTCAGTCTGTGTCTGCAGCTGGGTGTGGCCTTACCTGTGTGTGTGCTAGAGAAGGCTTGAGGGCCTGGCACAGCAAAGACAGGGTGAGGAAGCCCAAGCTGGTGGAACGGGCAGAACCAGTGGGACCCCAGCACATCAGGTGGCATCCGGGACAAGAGAGTCCAACCCGTCACACGGGGTTCTCAAACTTCATTGCACCTCGACCCCGTTCTGACAACAAAGTTACTACACGCCCCAGGAGGGGGGCGAAGACTGAGCCCCGCTGCTTCAGGTGTGGGTGGAGTTTGGACTTCAGCTTCAGCCCTGAGTCCCAGCAAGTCTAATACTGGCCACCCCTATTAAAATGGGGTCCCAACCCACCTTGGGGTCCCAACCCACAGTTTGAGAGCCGCTGCTCTAGCGCCAGTGTAACAACCATTAAAACTAGTCTGGGTCTTTGCCCTGCTCTAGTGGCTGACACAAAGAGGTTTATAAACTAACTACTGCCTAAGCTAATTGGCCTGATACAGTAGCTCAGGCCTTAAAGACTCATCCTTGTAAATCCACAGGGCCAGGGTTCAATCCCACAATAAAATCATTGGACCAGCAGACCTCCTATGAAAAGACAACAAGATTTCTTAGGTGGTACTCATGAGCATGTCTTGAGGACAAGAGGCACTGCTCAAATGATGCAGTATTAGCATCCTGGCATACAAATCTGTGCCCAGGTAGTCACCAAATATAAGACTATAGATGCAACCACTCAAATTTGCTATCTGAGAACATATTATAAAAAAAAAATTAAATGATGGTCAAATGAAACATCATTTGTGTAACTGATACAACTTTGCATTGTACATTATACTTGAAATGGTTTATTTGATTTTTTTTAGTAGATGCAAATATATTAATGTAATTGTTATAAAGCACTAAAGAAGCAGACAGGGATAATAATTATATATTTCTTGTGGCTGCTGCAATGCTACTGTCATAAAATACACACAACTATGCCCCAAAAGGGAAATGTTTAAGGGGAACTATAATTAATAAAAAATGGAAATAACAAATTTGGAACCCTGAAATGAAACAGCGCTGAAGAAATTCCTTTAAAAAAATAATTTTCTCTCTTTTCCTCCCCCCTTCTTTAACCTTAAGGTGAATTAAAATGCTTGTGAAAAGAAATGAATTGCCAGCACTGGAAAGTGATGTCCTCTATCAATAGAACAAGTTCCAGCAGGGACAGCAGCAACAACTCTGTTCTGAAAATGTGTTTCAACTGATTACTAGTAGGGTTGAGGGGGATAGGAGAATTTCCATGCCCATTCAGTCTTTGACCTCTTTGCCAAGTAGTGTCAGAAAGTTGTGGGCTCAGTCCACAGCAGTGTCCCTTGAAGGGCGATCACACTTGCCTATGAAGACTGCAAGTTCAGAATACTTTTCTTATCTGAATAGACTGTAGTTGAAAACAAAACAATGAAACAACTGGAGCATAGCAATGCCTGTAATGTGTGTTTCAGAATACAAGAAAACAGGGAAACTCATACCTGCTTAAACAAAAAGTGCAGTGAATTTAGTTTTCACTTGGGAGAGGAGAACACAGAGAAAAATATAAGAACAAAGTTAAAACTCCTGTTTATCTTTGTAAGAAGACATTTTGAGAAATCCGTTACACAATTTTCCTTAAAGACTTGAAACTAGATCTCTTTTACTGCAGGAGCTATTACTTGTAACTGGCGGGTAACATTATAACAAGATACACCTCTACCTCGATATAACGTTGTCCTCGGGGGCCAAAAAGTCTTACTGTGTTATAGGTGAAAGCGCGTTATACTGAACTTGCTTTGATCCACCGGAGTGCGCAGCCCCCCCACCCCCCGGCCCGGTGCACTGCTTTACCGCGTTATATCCAAATTCGTGTTATATCGGGTAGCGTTATATCGAGGTAGAAGTGTAGTGGGGAAAAAGTCTCTGACAAAAAGAGACAAAGATAAGTTAGATGAGCGCACACATAAGAAATGAAAAAGTCCCTTTTGTTGAAATGGGCATCTATTTATAGCAAGGATTTTGGCCTGATTCACTAATCAATCACTTCAGGATTTGAATATCAAAGGCAAACACAGGCTGGGATTTAAGAACAATGGTATGGAGGACTCTATATAGGAAAGCTTGCACACTGTCTGCCTGCACATATTGGGACTGATTCTCCACTGTCTTGTACATTACATATCCATTTAAGGCTCAGTTCTATGTCTATTGAAAACAATGACAAAGCTCCCATTAACTTTAATGGTGCAAAATCAAGCCCTTAGACCTGTGCACGGTGAGTGAAAAACTCTATCATTCCTATTTTGTAACATTTTTTTACCCACTTTGTACACATCAAAATTACCATAAAAGGTACAAGGCAATGGAGAATCAGACCCATTATTACCAACCTTAACTCATTTGCATTGAAAAACAACCCCTCAAAATGCATCGAAATTAAAACAAAAACACAGGCACAATCATGCTCTACTGGCAGTTTTAGTTGTGAATATAATGATCCATATCATGCCACACTGAAATTCATGGAAAGAGTTAATGGAGAGT